TGGGTGGATGTAAGTCACTTCCTATAGGACTGCTAGGATGTTCTGGGTGGTTGCTATGAGGTTGCTAGGACGTGGGTGGTTGTCAGGGTGTTGCTGTAAAGTTGCTAGAATGTTCTGGGTGGTTACTATGAGGATGCTAGGATGTAGGCGGTCATCAGGGAGTTGCTATGGGGTTGCTATGAGATTGCTAGAATGTGGGTGGTTGTCAGGGAGTTGCTATGAGGTTGCTAGAGGGTCCTAGATGGTTGCTATGGTTGTCAGTGAGGTACTGTGGGGTTGCTAGAGAGTTCTAGGGGGTTGTCAGGGAGTTGCTATGAGTTTGCTAGAGTGTTCTAGGTGGTTGCTAGGATGTGGGTGGTTGTCAATGAGGTACTGTTGGGTTGTTAGAGAGTTCTAGGGGTTTGCTATGAGGTTGCTAGGGTGTGGGTGGATGTCAGGGAGTTCCTATAGGGCTGCTAGGATGTTCTGGGTGGTTGCTATGAGGTTGCTAGGACGTGGGTGGTTGTCAGGGTGTTGCTGTAAAGTTGCTAGAATGTTCTGGGTGGTTACTATGAGATTGCTAGAATGTGGGTGGTTGTCAGGGAGTTGCTATGAGGTTGCTAGAGGGTCCTAGATGGTTGCTATGGTTGTCAGTGAGGTACTGTGTGGTTGCTAGAGAGTTCTAGGGGGTTGCTGTGAGGTTGCTAGGATGTGGGTGGTTGCCAGGGAGTTGCTATGAGTTTGCTAGAGTGTTCTAGGTGGTTGCTATGAAGTTGCTAGGGTGTGGGTGGTTGTCAGGGTGTTGCTATGATGTTGCTAGAGTGTTCTAGGTGGTTGCTATGAGGTGGGTGGTTGTCAGTGAGGTACTGTTGGGTTGTTAGAGAGTGCTAGGGGTTTGCTATGAGGTTGCTAGGGTATGGGTGGTTGTCAGGGTGTTGCTATGATGTTGCTAGAGTGTTCTGAGTGGTTGCTATGAGGTTGCTATGATGTAGGTGGTTGTCAGTGAGGTACTGTGGGGTTGCTAGAGAGTTCTAGAGGGTTGCTATGAGGTTGCTAGGGTGTGGGTGGTTGTCAGGGTGTTGCTATGGGGTTGGAATGTTCAAGTTCATCCTCAAGTCTCTGAGATGTTTTGCTCATTTCATCAGCTGTCTGGTGAAAATCACTCATCTAATCACTTAGTAAATTAACACCAGTAATTACCCACAATTCAAGGATCTACAGTATCTCACTGATATTGATGAATAAATCACATAAACACAATCTATAGGATCATTCATATTATTGTAGTGAATACAGCAGGAAAGCTAATGAGAAGTAGTCTTGTGTGATTCAGGATTAAGGCAGGTTCACACTGCCCTCTGCTGGCGATGTTTATGTATAAAATGACATTTTATGTAAATTAAAATTAATACACTTTTGGGAATAACACATAAAATGACCATATTATCTGACAGATATCATAAGATCAATCCACCAGTTTCAAAAGCTGCCTTATGAGGTTGCTAGGGTGTGGGTGGTTGTCAGGGTGTTGCTATGGGGTTGGAATGTTCAAGTTCATCCTCGAGTCTCTGAGATGTTTTGCTCATTTCATCAGCTGTCTGGTGAAAATCACTCATCTAATCACTTAGTAAATTAACACCAGTAATTACCCACAATTCAAGGATCTACAGTATCTCACTGATATTGATGAATAAATCACATAAACACAATCTATAGGATCATTCATATTATTGTAGTGAATACAGCAGGAAAGCTAATGAGAAGTACTCTTGTGTGATTCAGGATTAAGGCAGGTTCACACTGCCCTCTGCTGGCGATGTTTATGTATAAAATTACATTTTATGTAAATTAAAATTAATACACTTTTGGGAATAACACATAAAATGACCATATTATCTGACAGATATCAGAAGATCAATCCACCAGTTTCAAATCAAAGCTGCAATGAGGACATTAAATGCTGGATGTGTCTCTGCTAAATTAAAATAAAACATAAGCACTAGACATTGAACCAAAGACATGAAGAAGATCAAACCATACTGTTAATGTTCATTCATATTGACTATAAATATATGAATTATCTATCAACTTCACTGTTCATAAAATGAAACTCAAGTCAACAGATGAAAAAATGTATGAATTATACATGCATGAGTGAACTTGTTTCACGTCACGTTTATTTCTTATACTAAGATTCATTCAGTAATGAGATTCATAAATATTCATTTATTAATATTTTAAAATATTACTAAAATGTTTTTGCAATTATATGATTTTATATTAAAAAAATTAATAAAATATTAATTTGTAAATTTGTTCTTTTGGTTTTGAGAAATATAATATAATATAAATGAAACATAAATATTTGTGACCAAGACATTTTTTCATAAGACAGCTTTACCTAAAGGCTGCATTTGTTTTCACAATCTTTTTGAGTGTATTTTACGTTGATGAGCATAAAGTTTATTTTCAATAATAATAACTTCATAGTTTAAGCAGACAAAGCTAAATGAAACTCTGGAAAAGAAAGTCATGTTTATTCAGGTTCTCAAGGCATCAGTTTCACAGAGAAAAACAGACATCATTGATCAAACAGCTTTGAGTTCAACAGACAAACACAGTTAATTTGGTTGTTTGAAGCTCCACGTCTCTCTCGACTGGAAACATGAGCGATTCATCGAGGACAGTCTTCAGTTATGACCAGACAGACAGTTTTACATTCCCAAATAAAAAGATCCACATCGAGATGAAGGTTTAATTAAACTCAGTAAGCTATTGCACATTCTCACTGCATTTATTTTTGTACACACACACACACTCAGACTCCGACTCTTATACACACACACACACAGACTCACATTCTCACACACTCTCACACACACACACACACTCACACTCTCTCTCTCACACACACACACACACACACACACACACTCACACTCACACTCACACACACACACTTCACACACACACACTCACACACACACACACACTCACTCAGACACACACACACACTCACACTCTCTCACACACACACACGCACACAAACACAAACACACACACACACACACACTTATTCTCATCTTAAACTCTTAAAATCAGCATTTAGTTTTGTGCCCGTCCATGTCATGATCAGAAAAAACATCTGGAATTATAAAAAAAAATGACAAAAAAAAATATGAACAACTTTCCAGGAGAGTCCAGACCAGTTCAGACCAGCCCAGCTAAAACCAGTGTGGCAAAACCAACAATAATCCGGTCAGGTTTGAATAAATTAGTCGTGAACTGAAGTGTGTTTCTGTGTTGTAGGGATTATGAATGAATGAATGAGCTGCTGGAGATTCTGGACTCTGGATTTGTTCAGTAGGTCGTCGTGGGCGTTTCACGGGCGGAGCTAAACAGAAGCTCCGCCTTCGAGCTGATGAAGTATGTAACCAATAGAGACAGCAGCAGCACGGCCACGCCCACCCCCAGTGTTAACATCTATCAGACACAAACACAGAGGGAGAAAAATAAATCACCCAGGTCACATTTCACCTCAAGACCAAAGCAGGAAAAATATATATTTTTTACACATATTTTAGGTTCATTAAAATGTGTGTGTATTATGACATTATTTACATGACAATTAAACATAACACACCAACCCCAGATTCTCAATACTGTAATCCAAAACATTACTTACTATATTTACTTTATTGAGAATATTATGGATTTTTTTTTTATTAAAATGAGCATAATCAGCATCAAATATGCTAAAAAATGCAGTATACATAATTTATTTAATCTTTTAATTATGGTGTGATATATGACAGACATGTATTTGATATGTTTTGGGTGGTTCACCCTTTTATAGAGGTAAAACTAAATTATTATAGATCAAAATAAATCTGATTTCTGTAAAGTTTAAGGTGACTGTGACTCATTTTAGTATCATTGAGATACTATTATATTTATTATTAATATATTGAATGTTTTTATTTTATTTTTTGAAGTTTTAGTAATTTTGTTGAGTTTTCTGTGATTTTTATTATTTTATAAACATGTCCATATGTGACCCTGGAGCACAAAACCAGTCATAAGGGTCAATTTTTCGAAATTCAGTTATATACATCACATGAAAGCTGAATAAATAATCTTTCCATTGATGTATGGTTTGTTAGGATAGGACAATATTTGGCTGAGATACAACTATTTGAAAATCT